TTCAGCTGCTCTTTTACCATTAAAATGCAGAGACAGGCAAATTTTAGCTAAAGTTTTGTTTTTGATTTTCAATACTTTGTTTTGGCTCTTAGCTTTGCAAATTAATCCAAGAATTTAAGTATTGGTTTAATTAGGGAAGGAGTTTAAATTATTTTGAATTTGTTCCTGGTGAGTGTAGCACAAGCTTAGTTTTAGCCAGCAGCTGTGAACAGGTAACATTCCAATGTATTACTTGACCTTTGGCTGGCTTTATATTTAAGAAGTCCAGCTGCATTCCACTGCCAGGATTATCTCAGGAGCTGACAAGCTATTAGAGAGGGAGGGAGAAAATTTTAGTGGCATCCTGGGGGGGATTGCAGACCACAGAGAAAGAATATTTAAAAACCAGAGTGTCAAAAAATGTAGGATGTCTTGAAATGTGTGTGAACTACTCTGACAGATATCCATATTGCTGTTAGTGAGGCTTCAGAGAAATATGAAATATTTTTTTTAAAAAAAATATAGTATTTAATTGCTGTAGAAGAAACAGCACATAATGGAGGAGACAAGGAGGGAAAATCATATTGTGGGCCAAAACAAAGCAAGTACTGTATGTTAATATTAAAGGCAAGAATCTTTCTGTGTGTCTTGAAAACCATCTTTGTGATTACAGATTCCTTTTTTTAAAAAAACATTTTTTCCCTTTTATTAGGCAAAAGTGTTTAGACTCCATTAAAGCAGTAGTTCCCAACCTTGGGCCTGTAGATATCCTTGAACTAAAACTCCAAGAAGCCTTGACCACTAGCTGTGCTAATCAAGATTTCTGGGAGTTGTAGTCCAAGAACCTATGGGGGCCCAAGGTTAGGAACCACTGCGTTAAAGCACGCTTTTCTTGTACCCCATATTTCTTATATACTGAGGAATGTAAGAAAATGGAGGCAGGGAAATATTTATTTGTGCTATTATTTCTTGCTATCCTATGCTCTATGAAAATGCCTCTTTGGACCACTCCACCATTTGAAGTATCCCACAATTATTTATTTACTGATGTGCCTGAGGAAAAAAACAATGAGTCCATGCTTGTCTGGAGCCACCAAAGAAGAGAAAGGTTGTGACAGCTTCACAGCAGTGTTTCTTTACACCGGGAAGTTAAGATGTTACTGCTTGCTGCAGCTTCTGCTTTCTGAAGTTAAGCAAGGGCTAGCACAATACAGGCTTGACACTTTTTCCAGCTGGAAATTTATACTCTTGAGCTGAAGCCAAAACATACAAAGCAACATTTTTTTCTTGCAGGACCAAAGAAAGATTATTGTTGTGTCTATGAGATGCTATTTCACAACATGAACTAATTGCTATTATACCCAAGCAAGCAGCTAATTGCACATAATGGCTACAGATCTCTAACAATATGAAAGCATTCTGTGGCTTGGATCCAGAGGGAAGGAAGTTCCTCTGTCAACTGAGTTTTCTTTCCCGTAGTCCTACTACAAATCCTTTTTCAAGGGACCTTCCAAAACAGAGCGGGACGAGGAATGAGTCCAACCCCGTAGTCAAATACCTAAACCGAACATCATTGATTTCACATTTTTAAGTACATGGACATTATCCAGTTGGGGATTAATGCTAGCATAAATGAACTGAATATATTATGGCAGTGAATTCCTGCTAATTAACAAGTTGCCACTCACCTTCCTTGTCCCTTGCGATTTGGCATGTGATAAGGAATACAAGCAGCAACTCACTAATGAGCAGCTGTTCACTGCCATAATTCACACAATTCTACAATTCCGCCAGCATAAATGTACAATACTATTCCAGCCATGGTAAAAGAAACTTTGTTGAAAATAATAGTATGGCAAGTGCTAAAAGCAAAGCAAAATATGCTGCTTATTTACCAATAAACATGAGGTTTATTTCTCAGCTAACCTACACAAGACTCCAGTGTAATGTATTCACGAAGGCTTTCACGGACGGGATCTAATGGTTGTTGTGGGTTTTTTGGGCTCTTTGGCTGTGTTCTGAAGGTTGTTTTTCCTAACGTTTCACCAGTCTATGTGGCCGGCATCTTCAGAGGACAGCACTGTTGAAATACCACCAGATCACAGAGGCCTGCAGGACCCAATTGCATCTCAACATGGTGGCAGCAGCGGCAGGAAAAAGTACGGAGGCAACAGGGCAGTGGGAACGAGATGGGGAGGCAGTTGGGCTTGAGGTTTTTTTAGAAATCCACTAGGCTGTCTTAAAAAAATCCCAAACAAACCAATGACTTGATTTGTAGTTGGTTTGAGAAAAATTCATGGTTCATGGTTCATGGACTTCTATGTACCAAAACGAACTGCCATTTTGGCAGTTCGTGCCCACCTCTAGTTACTAGTGAGAGAAAATGGGAACTGAAAATCACAAGATGCTCACCATTGGTCAAAGAAGTCCCAGAGTCATACTTTCTAGAGGAATCCAAGTTTCTAAACAGTTCAGACTTGTTCAGATGCTTCAACAGAACTATCATATTCAAACAATATTGTTTTCAGTGGATATCACAAAATAACTGAGAAACCGAAGACACTAAAAGAACTCCTTAAAGACATATATAATAAATACATATAAGATTACTAAAACATTTTTTAAACTTTAGTGAAATTTAATTGTAAATTTTAACTGTACAAAAAAGACCAAGGTTATCCATTTTTAAGGGGGGGAAAGGAAATATACCTAATATTAAACACAGAACATAGTACTGTAATTATTTACTTAGCTATATGTGTAAGTGTACGGCTCAGGTAAGTTAATAAAACAAAGCAAAAATTAACTTATTATCTTAAATTCAAATAAGACAGAGAACACAGATATAAAAAATACCAATCATGTATATAACTGATGATCACAACATATAATGCAGTGTTCCTGAAATATGTTCAAATGGAACCATAATCCACCTTTCATGAGGTGAGAAAGGAAAAGAGGAAGAAAGGGAGTCTGACTGTTAAATGGATCTCACACTAATATTCGCCTGACCTAGACGCAGTGAGAGGAATTAAAAAGAGGCCCTGATTGTACAACCCAGTTGGGAACACATCAGGGCCCATTTGTAGGGTTAAAATCCAGAGTTTGAGAAGCCCTGAAATGAAGCATAAAAGTCTATCAGAAAATGTCTAATGCTAAGAGATTTATTGTACTTTATCTCCTTATAGCACTTTATAATTAGATGTATGTTAAATCTAAGTGCTCAGATGCCTTTCAGCTACTTTGCTCAACATAAGAGTTATATGTAATTCTTTTAATGATATCTCTGGTATGCAAAGCATTTATGAACACTTTCTTTAAAATGCACATACAATGTTAAGCCGGTAGAAAAAGTTGTCCTTTTACACAAGATAAACTTGGCATGCAAAGGATTAAATTTAGATCTAATCATTGGTTATTGGTGCAACCATACATCTGAAAGTCCAGACAAATGCTTGGTCTGATTAAGTAGATGAAGTATTTTAGAAAAGAGCAGGCGGGCTCTCAAGTCTGCATGATTTGGATTGAATAGCTGATTTGGATTATTTTCTAGAAGTCCTGAAAATCAAGTCTGTTAACGTTTATGACTAGTTTAAAATATAATACCTTGTGGGATTATTGTGTTAAGTCATCAAGTGCAAACAGCAAGTGCAGCCGCCTAGAGTGGTCCGGAGGGCCAAATAGGCGGGGTATAAATAAAATAAATAAATAAAATAAATAAATAAATAACCTTCTTCTACACCTTACGCAAGTGGAGATCTCTGTTACAAACAGCTAGTTTATTTCTGGATATCTCCTTTGCAAAGCCCATAAAAGTTGACTACACATGCTACAGGCATTCCTTGAGCTGTTTGAACATGATCCCTGGACAGAGAGGTTTCTGGCACCAGACTAAGATGTTTTATTTGGCATAAGCTTTCATGGACTAAATCCCATTATATGTTTGGATGGATTCTATACATCTGGCAGAACAGGCTATCATTCACAACGTGTATGCCAAATGAAACTTGATGTCTGTCAAGATGCCATCATCATCATCATCCATAAAGTTCTAGGCTCAGTTACTAATATGTGGTAAAAAAGAATCTGAGGTATGGAATTGAGCCATAATTGTATGAAACATTTTAAGCAACTGCTAATCAGATGCAATACTGAGATGAATGCATCAATGGTCTGATTTAATGTAAGGCAATCCAGGACAATAACTTTTGAATGATAATTAAATTTATTTATATACTGACTAAGATTATTTCTCAAGTATAATATATACATGATGGTCATGGTTTTAGATACGGCAAGCAACCTCATATTAAACTTTAAGCATACCACGCCCCATCTGAATACAGATAAAAATACTCAGGTACAAATTTCTCTTGGCTATCAATTTTTCTTTCTTGACAAACTAGCTCTCAGGATCATTTTCGAAGAAGAAAGGAATATATGCCCTTACTTAGAAGTGGGCCAGGGAGAAAGAAGGGAGCAATCTGGTCAGGTAACAAATATTTTCAGTTACCAATCCAACAAGTATAACTGGAGAAAGAGGAAAATCTTTCAAAACATTAGAAAGTTCTGTGGCAAACTATCAGAATTTGACACATCAGCTGGGGTTGATGCCTGTTTACTTCCCGGCTTTGGATGAAACCCCCGTCCCCGTGCACAGACAGGAGGGGCTCCTGTGTAGCGGGGATGAAAATTAGAGGGAATGGTGCTCCAAACCCATTCATTTTTGTTTCTTTGGTTTTACTGTCATGAAATATGATTGGTCTTTCAACAGGAAACTGAAAAGGACAATTTGGTATGAGGCCAATGGCATTTGTACTACCAGGCCTTTCCCCCCCCCCCAATGCCTTAAGGGGCTTGCCTGAATTGCCCCATATTCTCTAGGCCTTTCATATGCATTCCTTTGTCTCTTCCCTCCTTGTACAAATGTAACTTGAATCCCTATCCAAAGAGTGAGAAAATACATACTTCTTTATTCTCATTTCCCCTGCAATAGAATATGTATTCACAGCACATCTTACCTTTTCTTTTTTGTGATAATGAGGACATCATTAAAGAGGAAGAAGTAAACTTGTTGCTTAGTTGTTCTTTTAGAGAAAAGCCCGGTGTCTTCCACATACGCTGTCAATTCACCCCGTTTCACCAGCCACCGAGAAGAGGAAACCAACGGGAATGGCTATGAAGTAAAACGAATTGCAATTTAATTCCTCCAAAATATTCTATACGCATTTGTTTTTAGCGTGGTGCAGACATGTTAACAACAAACACTGGTTTTCTCCTAGCCTAGATTTTGAAGCACAGAAAGCAAAATTATGTTCTTTAACCATTTCTGAATGTTTTTGTTTTGTTTTTTCAGCTCTTGAAAATTAACAGCAAAACTGAATAAATTGTGCTGTCTGGTTTATATTGAAAATGAAAGCTAGCAGCTTAATGCCAAGCAGCCTTGAGGGCCCTGTGGAGTTTGTGGCAAAGGACATATTGAAAAAATAAACTAAAAATAAATAAAGAACCCTAATAAACATTTGGATTTCTGAAAACAGAACAAAACAAAACCCTCCTGCACAAAACAAAAAACAAAAACCTTTCCCTCAATAAAAGGAAAAGGTAAAGGTTCCCCTTGACAATTTTTGTCCAGTCGTGTTCGACTCTAGGGGGCGGTGCTCATCCCCGTTTCCAAGCCATAGAGCCAGCATTTGTCCGAAGACAATCTTCCGTGGTCACATGGCCAGTGCGACTTAAGACACGGAACGCTGTTACCTTCCCACCGAAGTGGTCCCTATTTATCTACTTGCATTTGCATGCTTTCGAACCGCTAGGTTGGCGGGAGCTGGGACAAGCGACGGGAGCTCACTCCATCGCGTGGATTCGATCTTACGACTGCTTGGTCTTCTGACCCTGCAGCACAGGCTTCTGCGGTTTAGCCC